CCCAATTGTAAGTCGCTTTGGATAAAAGCGTCTGCTAAATGACTAAATGTGTAAATGTAAATGTGTTCTCCTGTCACGACTGCACTCACACACGTTTGATGGTGTTTTTCAGGAGCTGGAGGATCTGCGCAAACAGGCAGAAACCATCCCGCAGCTCATGGCCAAATGTGAAAGTGTCACGGCCAAACTACAGGTGAACAACAACAAACACGCATTCTTCAAACAGACCTCAGTCGCGGATCATACACAGCTCATTCCTCCGCTGAGAATTAAGTTGTTTGGTGTTTGCTGAAGTTGAGTTTCAATCAGACTAAAGCAGTAAAATACCTTTTTCAGATGTCATGTAAATGCTTTAGTCCAGCTGAAATCAGTCTGGTTTTTGTTTTACTAACAGATCCAGGTGATGTGATTGTAGTTTGGGGTCCGCACACGTTAATCCGCATCTGCGTTTGAGAATACTGGATTATTCTTTGTCACATACACACGTGCAGATGAAGGCTGTGTCTGCTCATGTAAACCTAATGTTTGTAATCACTATTTCACTATGCAAGTGCTGTATGTTCTGTCAGTATAAATCAATTTACAGTCTGTATGTTCAGCTGTATGCACAGAATATCTAGTGTTAAACATTTAAAACAAACCCAAAACAGAATGTTGGAGAAACATCAAAAGATCAGCTCTGCAAACGCTAAATAACTGATTAAACATACAGAAATATCTTTCAGATGGGTTCAGTGTTTGTTGCTCTGGATGTGCGTCATAATCGTTGATGAGTTGAATCATGAGTGGATTCAGAAGCAGCAACTTACTAGAAAAAGCCAAGAATAGCAATATCTGCTTTATTAAAACATCTTGAAGCTGAGATGTCTGGAAAAACGTGATGAAGATTTTAAAAATCGTTGAATCTGTTTTTTGGAGTTTCATTTACAACACCCGTCTCACCCGCAAAGCCCTCTGCATTGCAGGTGATCCCACCCACCTGACACACAGCTTCTTTAGTCTGCTGCCATCAGGGAGGAGACTGCGGAGTCTCCAGGCCAGGACCAGCAGACTGAAGGACAGCTTCATCCATCAGGCTGTCAGGAAGCTGAACTCCCTCCCGAACTTGCCCCCCCTCCCCTCTTTTGCCCCACGCACCACTGAACTCTGACCCTCTGAT